ATCGAAATTTTTTTTCAAAATATAGGACACAAAATTCTACATCGATTCGTTGTTATTTCAATATTTCAAACATCATTGCTAGATAAGCAAGTGCAGGGTGTGAGTAGACATGACCACCTAACTGTCACCCGAAAATGTGGAAGGCTCGAAGTCAAACATTCTAGAAACTCTATATACCAGTCGAAAGGTCATTATCGATTATCTTTGAAACAGATGCCGCTAGCTCCTGTGAACTTCACTGTGGTCTGATACTATAGGGCCTTCTGTGTGGTGGATGATTCTTTCCCTAAATAACTGATCGACCCATGGTGTATAACCTGTTGTCAAGTCAAAAGTATTAGTAAGTATGTCAAATAAAAACGAATTTCATATTGATCGACACAAAACACATTGCTCTTTCCGAAGATTCTCTTTGCGAAACGTTTGAATAGTTCTGAAGCAAGAGTGTGCTCACAAACCATCTGTATATTTAATGGAATTCCGCAACGAAACCGGCTCATGAGTTATTTTTCTCGCATATATTGACGGCTTTCAAAACAAAAACAATACATTCAGGTAGAAATCAACGAGTTCTCTCGAATGCACTCATTTTTACTATAGACTGATTGAGTTTTAGTATTACTTTTCTGAAAATACTGCGTTACGGAATTTCATTAGAAACTGAAAATGACGGTATTTTTACACTATTCGACGTTTAATGCTGTTCATCTACACAAACATGAATATATTTGGATCTATTTAGAATCCGCATTGAATTCTGAACAAAATGTCCTATTTAGTTTTCAAAAACTTCAACTTTGATTGTTCTCGAAAATTTCTAATGTCGAAAAAGCTAAATTTTTTTTTCTCAGGTTTTAGTGAAACATAGTTCATTTGATGCAGAATTTCATGCTGAAGATGAATATCTGATTATCATTGCTTATTCCTGCTGTTATTTCCAAAGAAACTGCGACTTTTTGAAAAAGGTAAAATTTCGTAACGAACAATATTTGCAGTTTTTTATTTGATCTAGTCATTCTTTTTAAAAAATAACTTGATATTTTGAAAGCTTGTTTAAACCTGAACAACTTTTTATATCGAACGTTTATTTGTACACTATTCCGTTTCGTAGTAAAATATTAAACCCTCAGACCACTCTCAAAACAATTTCCATTTTTTGAAATTCCGTAATGATCAGTATTTTTTAAATAACTCAGCTCAGGCTGAAGAAAACTAAATGAAATTATTACTAGCAATGGAGCTCTATGATCTCTACTTATGATAAAGATTTCAGAGAGTTTGCCCTTATTATTGAGGAGATATGGGTGTTATAATAAGAAAAAAAAGTGAAATTCCGTAACGCTGGGCCATGCCGGGGTGTGAATAAACAACAGACACCCACACTCAATATAAAATATTTTTTTTGTCAATACTGTTATAGTATCTCACATATCTGGAAGTATATCATTAAAATATGTACAGGTATACAAACTTAATAAAGCACAATAGAGAAAGTGCACGTTTGAATGTCTACATATCAACACTTTTTGTGAAACATGATCAAAAAGGAGTGTTGAAGTATTAGGGATAAAAATTTGCACATCCCCATGCCTCTCCACCAGGGGTACAGAATCTGCCGGTAAAATGAAAAATTTCCCTCGCTATAGAATTCAATTAAGAAATGGCTGTTGTCGTTTGAGATGTTTATTCACAAAAAAAACTACCACTATTTAATACGTTGTAAATACACATTAAAAAAATGCTAATATTTAATATCGTTTGATTCCGGTAATCTTGTGACTTGTACTTCTCGTAAACGATTTAAACTAACTGAACCAGAAGAAACAAGTTCCCAAGGGTATGAGTGTGGGTTAGAGACCTACACGGAACTCCGAAGCCGGACTGCGTTGGAGTCAATAAAAGAAATTTTTTCGGAGTCAGAGTGGAAGTTGATGCAAATGGAGGAACTCTGAAAAACGTATTTCATTTTTTCTCATATGAAATTTTTTTGAAAATTGTAACTTATAGTTAAAGAAAACGATCAATCTAATAGCAAAACTACATCAAATAGAAAAAAAGCAAAACAACAAATAGCTATACTGAAGTAACTTTTAATAGTGACCATTGAGAAAAAAGGATTGGTACCTCTAGTTCTGACATGATTGAATCTGGATCGAAACTTGATCCTTTTGTTGGTTCCTTCTTGATTTGACGAAATTTTTTCAATAAAAGTTTTTCTAAAGAAGTCGTTATCGATGAAAATTCTGTGGAAGCTATCTCAAATTTTACTTGTATTTGATGTTTATTTTGAGATATTAATTTAACAATATCATGCTCGTTTTTAATCAAATTCAGAATTTCTTCGTGTGATAAGAGCTTAGCACTCTTTGCAAGTATTTCTATTCAACAAAAACAAAATTGAAATTCAATCAACTTTAATTTCCTGTTTAACATTCAACGTATCTATCTATTCGCATTACAAAATATCGCCGCATACGTAATCTGTCACGAATTAATGGGAAAAACTGTCGCCGTTCTTCAGAGCTGGAGTTAAAAACACGTCACTCCGCAGGTCTCTATTATGACTGTAGGATGTGGCTGTGGATGCGAATGTATGAATGCGACTTCTCTTGTCACCTACACAGCCACATGCACACAAATAGTGTGTACTTTATCATGAATAGGCACAACGAGACAAGCTAGAAGAAGTAGCAAGATGCACGATGAATGTAAACAAGGATAGACGATACTGGCACTAAGATCAAGACTAGACATGTGCGGGACCAGTCCCGGTCCCGGTAGCCGGGACTGGGACCAAAAAATAAAGCTTTACCGGGACCGGGACCGGGACCAAAAATTAAAACTTTATACCAGGACCGGGACCAAAATTTATAATTTTACCGGGACCAAGACCTGGACCGGGACTGAAATCTGGAACTCTATGATATCCTTAACTATGTCGCTGAAGTTCTTCATAATATTAATCATCATTTTGCGCTGATACGATTAGAAGAAATATTTAGGATAACTATCGTTCAATTATTCGCTAGATGTCGTTTGCAGACAGAAGGAATTGAGTTTCTTGGCTCCGGAATTAGAACTGTGCCGAATTTATTGATAATAGAACCGTGATAAGTAAAAAAAAATATCATGGTCGGGACCGGGACCACTGGAAAAAATCTGCCGGGACCGGGACCAATGAAAAATTAATTACCGGGACCGAAGCGGGACCAGGGTTAGATCGGGTTTACCGGGACTACGATAGGGACCAATGGAAAAAAAAGTTACCGGGACCACACCGGGACCGGGACTGAAAAACCTTGGTCCCGCACATGTCTAATCAAGACACAGATGACTTTTTTGTAGAAGTTTAATGGAAAGAAAAGGAACAAGAACAGTAGAAGGTCTTATCGATGTATATATAACTAAACGGAGGTTTTTTTGGAAAATTAATAACTTTTCCCTGAAAGAAAAATATTTGACAAAAAAAATTTTTCAGATGCTACTGAGTTTTCAAAAATTTCCTCCAGCGACCGTTGGCGCACACGGGTAGATTCTGTATGGTCTGTATAGACAAATTTTAAAGGATTTTTTTTAGTGTTGATATGAAAACAATTGGGACTTTTTATTTACTGACTCTTGTGCACATATCTCAAACCTAACATTTAAATTCAACTTTTGAATATCTTTTATCTGACAACTGGAAATTTAAATATTTATTTATTCAATTATTGAGGTCAGGTATTCATATCATAGTTTATAATTGATTTCTGGATAATCGTAGTTCTATCACCAAGATAGTACTTGAATATTTGGATTCAACTATTTGATTGGATATACATATCGACTTTTCCAAATAAAATTTTTTCGTGACAATTGACTTCGATCAAAGAACGTTTTATTTCGATTATAGACAAGTTAGACGAGTTTATGAAAGCGTGTGAAAATGCTAGTTCGAATTTATCGTGACTTTTATGAACTATCCTAAAATGCATAAGCACTCGACGAATGCATATAGCTAAACTACTGATAAAGCTTTATTCAACATATTTCGTTCTGTTTGTAAGAGATGACTAATTCGTCTATATTCTTTAAAACTGAACTCATCATTATTGTTAAATAATGAACACTTTGTGCCGTAATAGAACCAGTAGGCTTTTTTTGATGTCGAAAATCATTTGCATCGTTTCCTCTTCGATATTTATTGCAATTAATATCTTTATCGTAATCGCCAGATGGTTCAAATGTTCTAGTATGACTTCATAAACACTTTATCTCCTATATTCTAGCGAAAAGAAAACAACATAGTGGTTTTTAATGATAGATGAGTTATAAAATAGTCTGAAAAGCTAGTTTCTATATTTGTTAAAGTTTTAAAACAACTATGAAAAGCCAACTTTGAAGATATATACCAATGATTGGATCTTTTAGAAATATATGAAACGAATGATTTCAAAAGGTTAATGAAAGATCGTCATGACCTGAAAATCACAATGATATCAATTCCAATAAACATTGGAAAAAGGCAATGCATTGTGACTTTGGTATAGAAAAAAGATTCAATTTTATTATTACAGTCAACAATGCGATTTTTTCTATAATGTTAGTCAACTCGGTTTGCTAAAATTTTAGCCACTTTCACTTCAAAAAACTATCGAGACCTTTGTTTTGAAAATAGAATCGGAAGAGTTTAATTTGAATAGATCATGTGATACTCTTGTAGTGGAATCTTTTCGACTTAAATATGTCGATGTTGATTAGATTTTCGAAATTTTTTCATAGAAATTCTAGATGTTTGAATCGTAATACGATCAATTATTTTATTTTTCAAGACAACATATGAAATGTATAATACTTAAGAGAAGAACAAAAAAAGTAGTATACAAAAACAAGAAGTGCTATTCTACAAAAAAAATACAATCATAACTAGTAGAAAACATTGCAGTTCTGGATGGGTTCGATTATGGTAGAATCGATTCCAGTAGCAACATCGGAGTGACAGTGACATATTTCTGTCATGATCAGACGGATACCATTCGATTATATTTGGGAAAAACTACGGGTTCTATTGAACATATGCGAGCGAATAAATTTTGTTTTCTCATTCGAACATTGTTTGTTCTTTGTAATTTGATTGCTAGTTCTCGTTCATCTGTCGTTGTCAATTTTTCAAAACTTTCAAGCCATTGGCGCTCATATTTAGTTAAATATTGACGATAAATAAGAACAGTAGCATAAAGTTCTTCCATGTCTACAGTAAATGTATCGATTAAAGACAAATGTCTATAAGTATGCAGAGTATTATGTAAATATTGAAAATTAGTTCCATTGATACCATAGGCTCGACTCATAATCTCTGCTTGTTGTTTGATTGAAAGTGTCATTGGTAAATAGAATTGACTATTACTATTGGCAACACAAGTCAATGCCCATTCAATAGTTTTTCCATCTGACATTATCACAGGAAGAAAGTCATATGTATATATATCCATTTTGGTACCATCAACACTAATCGGAGTTTCACGTTTGATAAAAGCTTCAATGAATGGAATCAATTTATTGGCACTAGCCATCAACAGATAACCTTTAACGAAACTTTCTTCACATGGTTTTAAACCCATTGTTAGACCCTTAAAATCCTTTGTTCCTCGATAGATAAAATCTTGACAAATAAATCCTTTGGTATAACCATTTAAAAGACAATTGGGAATGATCTGTTCTACATGTTCACAAGGATTCCAAATCAAAGATCCATAAGCGAACACGGCAATGGTTCCTTTTTCTTTTACATATTCAACGATGTTGGCACGTTTCGTTGAATCATTATCTAATCCAGTCAAGAGTTTCAATGCTTGATTCAGAGCACGTGATTGTTCCATCACAGTTAATAAAAATCTAATACGTGAATATTTATCACAGATATAATGATCTATTTTGTTGTGTTTATGTTCTACCTTTTATAGAAGATAGTCTCTTCATTAGCTCGCTCTTCCTACGTAGAAAAAAAAAGCATCACTATCAATACTTTAAACAATATACGTCAGCAATTATGATGCGAGAACAGAGCTACCCATGAAGAAAAATTTCAAAGGTAAATTATTTCTTTCTACGTCACTGTCCGACTTTTTTTCAATATATGAATGTCGTCATATGTTGATTTGAGTTAGAACAAACACGATAAATGACATCATATAATGACAACGAATGCAATATATTTTTAAAACGTAATAGAATCAACGATTATAATCATTTGATGTTCTTCTTCTCTCCTCTTCATTCGGTTTTTTTTTTCGTCTAATAGTATGATATGTATCTTTTCGTTCTTTATACTATCATGTAGTGATAAACTGCACATTATTCTACGCATGTTAATTTTTGGCAAAAAACAGCAAGTCTATGTGTTAGCTTGCGAATATGTGAATCGATTTAACTGGTAAAAGAACAAATTCCTCTTTTATTATTTTTCAAAAGAGTCAATATACATAGTCAGTGAGTTATGGATAATTCAAGCACAGTCGAAAAGAAATATGAATGAAAGACAAAAAAAGATATTTGAACAGTATCAAAAAAAAAGGATACATTGCAAAGCACATGAAAGAGAAAGAAAGAAAAAAAAGACAACGTTACATATACACTATGTGGTGTGTTTAGTACCTGTACGATTTTGTAGAAGAGAGGAAAGAAAGAAGAAAAATATCTATAAATGAATAATTCTGCATAACTTTGTGTTTTTTGCATGTTTTTCTTTTTATCATTCGATTGTCTAGTGCGGATATTAAAAGATATTTCATAGTTGCTCTCCATTGAAGAAGACTATCTGTATTTCTCAAAACATTACTTGATTCATGTTCTTCAATACGTTTTATGTTCAGTCGTTTCTTTTTGTCGTACATGATATGACATATTGACGAATTGTTATATATTGTGTTGACTCTTACTATCGCAGTAACTGACTGGTAAGATTGAGGATGTTATCCAGAAAACAAAATCATCTAGAATAGATCAATCTTGTTAAATGAACATCAAAGAGTTCTACTTTAGTCAATCGCCTTTTTCAATTAGCGTTTGACGTCATAGAATGTTTTTTTCTTTAATATTTCGTTCTCGAGAACAAAGCTATGAGAATCTTAATATTAAGCACGTTTTATATTCTAGAAAATGGCGTAATAAAATGAAGACCAAAATCAATTTGCGTAACAGAAGGATATCTTTTTTTATTAATTTTTTTTTAATTTAAAATCAACAAAAATTATGTAAGGACATTAAAAAATTTTCTTGAGTATTACAAGAAAAAAAGTCAATCAAATAATTGTGTTTATCAACAAAAAATACAATCGATAAGTTAGAATTTCAAATTGGAAGCTATTTCTAATTAAATTGATTCAAAGTGTGAACATACATTTTACAGCGACATTATCTTTATGAGAAACATTATCGATCATATAAATTTTTTGTCAAGATATTTTGAATCAGAACTTCGTCCTGTTGCTCCGATTTTGATGAATAAATTATCTAAATGAATTTGATTAATTGCTAATATCCAGTTTATAAAAGGACATCGATAGTCTTATGCTTTATAGTGTAACAGTCCAATAGCAGATTATAGCTATTAAACTCACTGAAAACGATTATTATGTGAAAATAAACGCGCTGACAGAGATAAATTGTAATATATGAGAACTTGACACAGTGGTTTGCTCATTGCTATTTAATTCTAGTTGACATAAATATTGGAAATTATCGTTCAGTTGCATAAAGTGATCGAATGGGTGATTTTTTTATTCACACCTACACCCTATACACCAATACAGTACATCATTTTTTTTTCTTTTAAATATCTTTTGGTTTGTTCCAATTCTTTTTGAATATGATTTTGCACTGATAAACCTAAATAGAAGATATATTGATCTAATTTTTATATTTTCACTAAAAGTTTCTAAACGGAATGATAGTAGATATCAAAGTAATTATAAATCATGTTCGTGTTGAATTATGTTTTCTATAGACGACATATTGTCTTTTACATGTAGTAGTTTATATAAAATAAAGACAAAATACTAGGAAGTGCTAGTTGAAATCTTGAATAAACTTTAAACTGATATTATAGTATAGACAACATCTATTTGTTGATATCGTTGAAAGCATTACGTGAATATCATATGAGAACAATTGCTTGAAGTCTTTTTTATAGGATTTTATCTAAGTTAATTCCACTACATTATTGCTAAGACAGAAATTCGAAATAATATTTGTTATTAGTCTAAGAATAAGAAGTGGTTGCAATTTGTGAAACAAATTTAGTCTAGATTCGATTAATGTTCTATATCCTACGGCATCATTTTTCTTGCAAGTGATACATGTTAATTTATATCTCATTTTAGTATTCAATATATAATTTTCCTGCATAATCTTTCTCATCTTTGCTAACTAATAATTAGAAAACTATTAGAAGAAAAGATTTTTTTCAAATGAATTACTGATTGCTTATTTAAATATTAACCAGAAAAAAATTATAGCCTCAAACAAACAAATACTTGTTTTTAGTGGACTTACAACAAATCATTTAGAAATAAGTTATTAATCGATTTTCTCATTTGACAATCTATTCAGGTTTTATCTAATATTATTCATATGTAATAGATAATTTGTTTCTGATCAATTTCGAGTTTAAATTTAAAACATAATTTCTACATTATGAAAGCTTCGCTTTATAAATGACGTCTTTATCAATCTTTTTTAATTATTACATGGATGCAAACAGAAAAATGTCCAACAATATTGAGAAAATACTCTAAAATAATTGAAAAAAGAAATAATACAAACGCATTACTTTTTAAAAAATTCTCAAAAAGCAAAAAAGTATCTTTTTCTTTCGAGTAGTTTTATGTAGAAATAAATGCGGAAATCTCAGATTTAAATCCGAGAATTATGTCTACTTCAAAAAGTGAATGAGGCAGATGAGCCATCCTAGAATGTGTGGACATCAAAATTATCCTGGCAAACCTTTTCTATAAAATACTTGATTTCTATTGGCTACTCTCAACCAATAGGATTTTGGGACGAATACAGCTCAGATTTGAACTCTACGCCTTGATTTACCCTAAGAAAGGCGTTTTTCCTATAACTTGATTTCTATTGGTTACTGATCAACCAATGGGATTTCGTGGCAAATGGAGTACAGATTCGAGTTCTCCGCCCCAGAAAATCTCGAAGTATCCTCTCCGTGATCGGAAGATAAAACTCTAATTGTGCATCGATTGGAACGTAGACAAAAATAGAACCAATTTCCATTGAATTATCTTTGCAATAGGTGAGTTAGCCTTCTTGTTTCTTTATCCTTTATGTACCATTTTGTAGCTTGTGAAATTCTCTATCGAATGATATATAATAGTTGAGGTTTTATTTGTCTATGATAGGAAAAGCTTTTTACGAAAGCGGGGATAGGTCGATCGTCACATAGGAAAGCATAGGGAAAAATGACTATTTTTGCAATAACTCAGTAATGACTCGGCCAATCATTCTCATCTTCGAACTCGGTCGAGATATTGTTGAGACTAAACTGTGTAGAAAATTTCATCGCGATCAGACTCTCCTTTCGAAAGTTATCGTGTAAACGACCAGACGGACGGACACACTGACCGATTCTAGAGTGTACTCACTTTTTGAGTACACAAAAACAACATATCAACTGGATCGAAAATTTTTATGTCGTTTACTCATAGTAAGATATACACCATTCGAAAGAGCGCGAAAAACTGAGTCTAATGATGTAGTTTTCGTGAAGACGTACTCCCAAGTCCCCAGCAAAAATTTTTAAAAAACGTTTCTCAATAAGCTCTATCATAGTGCTTCGTCCTCTCGCCATTTTTTTT